GAATCCAAAAATATTTTTTTCTAGAAACGCTTTCAGTCATTTTAAAAGCACATTCAAACTTAGCCAATAACTAGTTCACATTTGTACAAATTAATCTGAGAGGAATAGCTGTTTCCGTTAGCCAGCTCACTTATCGTCTTTTTGCTGGTGATATGATTCACAAAGTCACAGCATCCACAAATTATAAATGCAAAATCATAAGATTCATATCGTATGGTCCATTCCATAGCCTGCCGACGATAAACTATCTCCTAATTCGAGATGTAAAAACATATTTACATCTTATTTTATAGTTTCAAGAGGTGTAGACAGGAGTTCTATGCTAATGAGAGCGATGTAAATTTGAGTTTTTATTTAATTTTCTCTCTTATATAGAGTAGCAGAGTTCACCATAAAAAATATATATATACATCCATATATATATATGTATATATATTTAAGTTCTTATTTATATTTTCCAGTCAATATTTTACATCTTTCTGAACAACTTAAAGTTTCAAAGACAAATTGCTCCCTATCTTATGCATTTGGTTGCAATTGCCATCCGGGATATTATTACAATAGCAATGGATTTAATGCACAATTCATTATTTTAGGAACCTTAATTTCTGCAATCAACTATACAAATTTAAAATATATCCAACAGGCTCTTTAAGGGGAGATCTCCATTTAAAAATAAATAAATAAATAGTTGTAGGGCTCACTCCACATCAAACTTCAATAATAAGAAATGTCTATATTTTGTCTCTATTTATAGGTCATTCTTGCAAAAAATCAATTCAATCCGAAATGATTTAGTCACTTGATTGTCACGATGAAATTTTAATGTTTCTTATAACATAATGTTCATCAATGTCTTGGAGCTCAATTAGATTAATTGATGCCTCATACATTTTTTATTTGCCAAATTTTGCAATGATGATTTAATTGGTACAACTTGAAAATAGACAATTCGGATATCATTGAAGTTCAATGTAGTATAGACTCCACAACTAATCTAAAAAAATGAGAATCCCTTCCCTTAAAACCATACGTTACATGTATGTGTTTTTTTTTTTTTCTTCTTATCCTTCATAAAGGATGTAATACTAATAATAAGGATTTTATTTTACCATTGAAAATGAGGATTTTACAAGAATTCAAAAGATAAAATGCTAGTAAATATGTAGATATAGATTTTGAGGCCTTACGTAGTGGGTAAAATTGAGTTGAAGTCCAGTTTTATAAGAATCAAACTCCTAGGACGGAAAATCTGCATTTTACATGAGTGACTCCGATTATTGAATTTAATAATTACTAATGACTTTAATTTCAATAAATGATCAACCACTTGACAGAGAAAATAGAGATTAATACATAAAACGAGGAAAAAAAAGTCCAATAATATTATAGGAATCAAACTCAATGTACATGATTATATATAGGAATGAAACCAAACAAAACTAACGTTTCTCTCTGTAATTGTTACTTTCATCTCAGAAAAAAAGGTTGCACATGATCCCTTATACGGCCATGTACCACATGTTAGCATGAACATATACCAAAACATGTAATTATGAATCACAGTGATCAAAATACAAATCCTATTCATAAGCCTGTAGCACAGAGAAGAAACTTACCCGTAGTCGAACTTGAAGAAGCAGCCATTCCAGGTTATGCAACAAACAAACAGTGCACCTTCTCCTCTCTCCAGTAATCAGTTTGCTCTAACTAATAATAGGTCTTAGTTCGATGATAGAGCGTGTCAACTGTGAGAGCAGAGGCCACTATATATACACAACATAATCCTCGCCAAATCTCATAAGAATTCCCCTATTAGAATCCTTATAGACAACCAAATTAGTGTTTCAGCATAACGTGGATTACAAATCCATTCTCAATAAGACTTCTTATCCAAACTTGAAACAAATAACTTAATCCACGAATTCATACTCATGCTCATATTCTAACAAGAGTGTCACCGTATGTGCCTATCCTCACCCAAAAGATACTCCAAAAATACAAGATGTAATAGCTTTATATATGCATTCATGTCTTGTCCATTTCATTGTCTTATAAAAATGACAGCCACAGTACTCAACTAGAAGTACATATGATTGATTGATTGTATGGAATCTTAACTATTTCTTCCACTTAGGGATTGACCAAGCGCATGAAGAGAGTTAGCAAGACTGTCGACCAACTACTCGAAAAGATAATTCAGAATCATGAACAAGTTTCCAGAAGTGAACAGGTACACGGCAATCATCATAAGGACTTTGTAGACGTGCTGTTTTCATTAATCAACCAACCATTAAACCCCAACGATGAGGAAGTCTACATGCTCGAACGAACAAATGCCAAAGCCATTTTACTCGACATAATTGCGGGTGCCTTTGACACCTCAGCCACGGCGATTGTCTGGACCCTGGCCGAACTCTTGAGACTGTTGTGCGGAAGCGTCAAATATGAAACCAATAAGCTACAACGGCAAAATATGACAAGACAAATAATCCAAAAGACACAAGGATTTATACTGGTTCGGCGTAAGCCTACATCCAGTTCCGAGACGGCGAGGAAATTCCACTAATATCAAAAGAAGATTACAAATAGAGTTTTAACTCTCAAACCCAAATCCCACATACAACCAATAGCTCTCACTCTCACAAAGAACAAATGGAGAAGATGGAAACATATACCAAATTCCTTCTCTCCCAAAAGCCACAAAATGTAGCACAAATATCTTTGATTGAGTGATCACTAACAAAAGGGGATTACAAACAAATGGGGGGAGAGCTGCAGCTCTTATTCAAATGGGAGAGCCGAATGCTCTCCCTGTGCTCTCTCATCTGCCGCTCCCCTCACTTCCAAAGGCATAATCGAATACCTTTTATAACCAAAATGAGCTCTCCATTTCTTCTCTTCTACCCGAAACAAAAAACAATAATTATGCTTATTAAAAAACCACAAAAGAAGAAAGCATAATCATGATGCCTCCTCATCATGATGTTTCCTCATCATTTTGGTTTCTTTTTCTTTTCTTTTGTTTGTTTATTAGCCGAAAGGTGATGGCCACTTGGCCACAATTCAACAGAGACACCCGAAAGTAATAAAACATTTCCAAGAAGAGCTCCAGAGTGTGATCGGGATGGATCGAATGATGAAAGAAAGTGATTTGCCAAAGCTGGATTACTTGAGCATGCTGGTCAAGGAGAGCTTAATGTAAGACTCATGTTGAGTTGTCAATTATTATGAATAGAATTACTTGAAAGACAAATAACTTGATCTTCAAGATATTTGGCTTTTAATGTGATTCAATATTGGTTGGCAAGAATCATGGAACCAAGATATATTTAGTTGACTAATTGAAACCCTAATTAAGTAGGACATATTGTACATGCCTTGGTGGGACAACATTAAGAATAAATGGTGATTTGGTGTATTCCTCTAATTACTATAATAGGCGGAATTAGGGGAACCCTAATCACTATATTAAGGGTGTCCCTGCTTTCACAAAAAACACGTTCCATTCCGAGCAAACCCTATTATTGCTGGAACACTTCCGCTTGTTGAAAGTAGAAGATTCCTTTGTCATCCACAAGAGCCATGTCTTCCATATTCCAAAGATAAGTAAATTGTAATTGATTTATTGTAATTATTTTGGTTTATCAAATCTGTGATCCTAATCTCTTGTTGTTGTTCTTATGATTTCAGAAATATCTTACACTTAAGGCTACACCCAGTTGCCTCATTACTAGTCCCTCGTGAATTCATGGAGGACATTACAGTTGATGGATATAACATACCCAATAAATCAAGAGCCTTTATCAATATTTGGACCATTGGGAGGGATCCAAGTGTATGGTCAGATAATGTGGAAGAATTCTACCCTGAAAGGTTAATGAATAATAACGTTGACCTACTTGGACATGACTTCCAGCTCAGGTCTGGTCGAAGAGGGTGCCCTGCTATGTAATTAGGGTTAACCACAGTTCGTCTTGTTCTGGGAAACTTGTTGCACTGCTTCAACTGGGAGCTCCCTAGTGGAATGCTACCTAAAGACTTGGACATGGCTGAGAAATTCGGCTTATCGTTGTCGAAAGCCAAACACTTGCTTGCCATACCGACGTGCCGCATGTACAATCGACCTTAATTTCCATAGTATGTCTTGGCATAAATAAATATTAATTAACCTTATAATTTGGATTAATGCAAGTATCTTGTAGCTCAGTTAATTAAAAATATTATTCCTTGCCCTTGAGGTAGCTTGTTCAATTTCCCTCCCGTAAAAAATAATTTGCTTGTCATCATGCCCACCTACATAACGCCTACACGGTCAACCTTCATAAAGGGTTGAAATAAATGTCTTGTAGTTATAATAGTGTTTCTTTGAGTAATGCTAGGGAGACAATTAAATTTGTAGACTAAATTTACAAACTAAATAATATATCACAAATAGGAAATGAACAAGTTTATCAATGTTTAAATGATAATTCAATTATCAACTTTCATGTCATTTAATTTACAAAATTTAATCTCCCTAGCATTACTCGTGTTCCTTTGATGCCACCTTTGACTAGGAAAGATTAAAGTAGTTACATTGTAAAAGTATTAACCATAATACGTTTTTCATTCTCCTAATTGATGTTTAAAATTATCTTACAAAAAAACTAATACAAATGGAGCTGGTTTAGATTAATATTTCAATAATTGCGCCCTTTTTTCTTACTTATCTAAGTTTATCACTTTATGTGTGTTTCCCTAGTTTGTTTTGTCTTTTGGGTTTTGCACTTAGGTTTCATTCATTCGTTCATTATTTCTTTCTTTCCTTCTTTCCTCATTCTTCTTTGTTTTTGCCCTTTATATTTTCTGCACATCTCAAACACAAAATGTAAAAACTAAAAATCAAATAATCATCGTACGAATTCTTAAATTTTACTCTCTTAAAATGTACTTTTTCTCTGGAACTCTCTCATGTAGCACTCATCTCGCTATTTTTTTTTCCTTCTTATAATACAATGATATGTTTACACCAATGGATGAGACAATAAACCGATATCAAACTTGTCATTCATAAGATTCGAACTTAAAACCTCTCACTTACAAGTGAAGGGTAGTAAAAGAGAATATTGTGGTAGCAAAAATCTGTCGTTTTCGGCCTAGACGAATTTTTACCTACAAAACAAATAAACACTTGTGATCAAAGACAAAGCCCTGCCCCCAAAGAGTGAGGGTGGGGGGTGTTTGGCCAATGGATCTTCAATGCCTAAGTCAGTTTCTCTGAAAAAAAGAGAGGTTTAGGGCTTAATTGCATTGCAAAAGCTTACTAAAATTTGATGGAGAATGGGGTATTTATAGGAGCTAGGATCGCCATGGAGGAGAGGGATCTCGCGCTATGTATCATCATCCAGTTGGCCAAGGTGTGTCATCCGTTGGATGGAGTAGGAAAGAATTATCCCAATGATATTATTGAATAAATAATATCTTGGAATTATCTTGTGGATCCCTGATTGGATTTGATTATAAATTCTTGCTTGATTAAGTATTGTAGTCAAATCTCATATTTGCACTCGAATATATCAATGTTACGCAGGTGAATTTGCAGGTATACAGTTAGCTTCAGCAATATCCTCACTGACTGTGCCCCGGAAAGCAATGCAACTAACATAAATTTTTGTCGTATCACCCTCTGCAGCAAATTGGGAATCCAACCTTAGAAAGAAACAATAAGACATGCCTACATGCAAGAAAGTAACTGCAACAACAGATAAACTAAATATGAAAACGATGCTAAAAACAATACTAAACGTTGAACAGAAAATAAATAGCTCTACTAGATTCTAAAGCTTTACTGAAAGTTAAACATAAAAAACAGGAAAGCCACCCGTATAATGGCTCTGATATCTTTTTGATCTTAGTGTCATCACAAATTTCGCATAACCTAAATGTATAAATCTGTGTTAAACCTCTATGTGCCTTTTTTCTAGTTTCTAAGCAACAACGCTAGCTTATATACTAATGTTGAACAGAAAATAAATAGTTCTATCTAAATTCTAAAGCTTTGTTGAAGTTTAAACATAAAAATTAGGAAAGCCACCGATATCTTTTCGAGCTTCGTGTCATCACAAATTTCGCACAACCTTAATTGTATAAATGTGTGTAAAACCTCTTCGTGTCATTATTCTAGTTTCTAAGCAACAACACTAACTTATGTACTAATGTTAAACAGAAAATAAACAGCTCTACATAAATTCTAAAGCTTTGTTTAAAGTTCAAACATACTAATCAGGAAAACCGCTAGCATAACGGCTCCAATGTCCTCTGAAACTCTGTGTTTCCACAAATTTCGCATAATCCTAAATGTCTAAATTTGCGCATTACCTACGCGTCGTTGCTCAAGTTTAGAGACTACAACATTAACTAAAACTATGCAAAGCTCAATAATTTCTTCAATAAGTTTAATAACAACGAAGCGGATTCTCGAAGAATGCAGAGAGCAGAGTGCAGAGCACAAAGCAAGCGTACCGGTGAGAACAATGGGGTAGCTCCGTGGAAACGTGTAGGCGTCATTGGAATCAAAACCTGACGATTAGAAAAACACCAGCCGGCCACACACACTGCATCACAAAAAAATAATCATATCAATCACAAAAATTGGACGAGCGGAAATCGAAGCAGTGAAGATTGGGCGGTTGTGGCGGCGGTGGAGTGGCACTTACGGTGGGGAGCTGAGGCGGCGGAGGAGGGTAGAGAATGTGATTGGGCGGAGGGTACTGATCGAGAAGAGACGTCTGGTAATACGTGCCGAAGCCGTGTAATCCTTTGGCGCCGTCGATGGTCCGAATCTTGGGTCCGATCCCGCACACCACGAAGTGCTCGAAGATCCGAGCCATTGGTCAACGATCGTCTCTCTCTCTCTCTCTCTCTACACACACAGATAGTATGAGAGAGAGAGAGAGAGAGAGAGAATGGGGAGCTGAGATCTGGTTCAATTGGATTCAATCTGTCAACAGCCGCTGAAGCTCGCGCCTTTGGATTTCAATCATTTTTTCCGGGTGAACTGAATCGTAATCATTAAATGTTACCAGAAAGAAATCCATTCTTTCTCGTGTTCCCATGCATTCAACTCTCAAATCCTCGTCTTCGTTACACTTATTTTGTGCATGGTTGATACTTGACCGCTCATCATTCCATGTCGTAAAGCATTACTGATTTTATTGTCGCTCTATAAAAAATTTCTTTGAGGCATACGTACAACACAACCAATATATTTTTTCACTTCAACCACTTAGTTTATATTCGAGAATTTATCATAAATAATCAAAATTAAGACTCTAATTTCATAAATGTCAGTTTTTATAAAAACTTTCAAATATAACTAAAATCACACTTTAATAGTCTAATACCCTCCAAATTAAAAACAATACAACCCTGAAAATTCAAACCTTAAATTTTTTTTTTTTGTCAAACAATAGATTTTGTTAGATTAGTCATGGATTCGAACGCCATCATGCAAACAATCATATGTATTAATCAAGAACTGAATTTCTTTTGTTTATCAATCACTCTCCAGAAGTGTTGGAATCTAAAGGTCTTCGCCTAAGCCGATCAAAGACAGAATATATGGAGTGCAAGTTCAGTGCAAATGGAGACCAAAACGAGTTAGGGGTGAGGATCGGAGATCAAGAAATACCAAAGAGCGACCGTTTTCGTTACCTAGGATCTATCTTGCAAAAGAACGGAGAATTAGATGGAGATCTCAACCATAGAATACAAGCTGGATGGATGAAGTGGAAGAGTGCATCCGGCGTGTTGTGTGACCGCCGTATGCCACTGAAGCTCAAAGGAAAATTTTATAGGACGGCAATAAGGCCGGCGATGCTGTATGGCACAGAATGTTAGGCGGTGAAGCATCAACACGTACACAAAATGGGTGTAGCGGAGATGAGGATGCTTCGTTGGATGTGTGGGCACACGAGAAAGGATAAGATTAGGAATGAGGATATCCGGGGTAAAGTAGGAGTAGCCGAAATTGAAGGAAAGATGAGAGAGAAAATCGGTTACGGTGGTTTGGACATGTGCAAAGAAGGCCTACTGACGCTCCGATTAGAAGATGCGACTATGGGACAGAGGTTCAGGGCCGAAGGGGTAGAGGAAGACCTAGGAAAACTTTGGAAGAGACCCTAAGAAAAGACTTAGAGTACTTGGATCTAACGGAAGACATGACACAGGACAGAACACAATGGCGTTCTAAGATTCATATAGCCGATCCCACTCAGTGACTTGGATTTTCCAAGTCTCCAACCGAGAAGTTTTCCTCACTCGGGAAATTAAGGGAACACTACCTCAACCTACATGCTCCACTCACAAAGCTTCAACATACAAGCTTCAACAAAAGAAAATTCAAAGAACTTAGCGAAGAAGGCTTTGGTGTATTTAACACAATACGTTGAAATGAAGGAAAGCTTATTTATTGATATCCCCGATAAGTTACAAATATGTACATATACTTGAGTCAAAATAAACAAACAAGAGGGAGCCTTCACAAAGGTTGATTAGGAGAAGTCTCAGCAGTCGGTAGAGCCCCAGAAAGAGAAGGCACCGGAGGGGGATCATTCGGAGCCTCAATACTGGACAGAACCCTAGAAGGATGAGGCATCAGAGGTTGATCATTTGGAGCTTCATTACGCGGTACAGCCCCAGAAGACGAAGGCAATAAATGCCTTTGGAACAAACCCACAAATCTCTGATGATCAAGTAAAACCTGACTATCAGATTCCTTCATCTGGTCAAGCTTCCTCTTCATGTTTGTAGCATAGTCATGTGCGAGCCGGTGCAACTGTTTATTCTCATGCTTGAGCCCTCTAATCTCCTGTTTGAGACTCATCACTTCAGCCGCCAATGATTCAACTTGGCGGGTTCGAGCAAATAGGCGTTGGGCCATATTAGACACAGAACCTGCACACTGAACACTGAGAGCCAGAGAATCCTTAACAGCCAACTCATCAGACCGTTTGGAAAGTAGTCTGTTATCTTTGGGAGTGAGAAGGTTCCTGGCCACTACCGCAGCGGTCATATCATTCTTCATCACGGAATGCCCAACGGTAAGAGGACCAGTAGGGGAGACGAAGGATGGGCGCCATATGTTGTCTGGAGAAGGCGGGGCTGCCTCTTCAACAAGGTTCAAGTCAAAACGACGGTCGGAGGGGCCAGACATTTTCAAAGGTGTTGAAGAGAGAAGAGGTCGAACAAATCAAGATCTTAGAAGTGCAAGAATGGAGCTTCTACTGGTGGATATTCAAGTGTGCTTTGGAACTTAATGTCAGCCCCTATAAAAATCTGCACTCGACGAAGCTTCAGAAATCGAAGAGGCGCCTGCTCAGAAATCGAAGAGGCGTTTGCTTTCTCAAAAGCTGGGCTGCTCAGAGACCACGAGGGTCGATCTCAGAAATCGAATAGGCGTTTGCTTTCTCAAAAGCTGTGCTGCTCAAAAACCACGAAGGCCGATCTTAGAAATCGAAGAGGCTTGCTTTCTCAAAAGCTGGGCTGCTCAGAGACCACGAGGGCCGATCTCAGAAATCGAAGAGGCACCTACTTTTCCAGCTTTGTCAACACCTGTCACACGCACACTCAGCTTTGCGGAAATTATGGGCATTATGTCGAAGATTTCTGGCGAAGTAGAAAGCACATGAATCGTACTGTTCAATCACCCACTTCCCACACGCAACAGTAGCTCATGGGTACCACAGATAACTTTGCCAAAGTTCTCTGACAAAGTTGAGACACGTGAAGCTTGCAGCTCCCACTACATCGCTCTGACCAAGAAGGGTAAAAGAATAGCAAAGAAACAACACTAACAAAGTTTAGACACATAAATTTTGAAGGTCTAGCTACCATATTATTACCCACAAGGGTAAAGGAACAGTACCACTGCTGGATAATTGGAAAGTCCCGGTGTGTCAACCTCTGTGCTTCGTGGCAAGGTAGACTAGCAAACATGCCCAACCTTTACTCACAATCGAGAAAACACTCCCAACAAGATTGCTTGCTCCAAAATCGAAGAGGCACCGCCCTCCGAATCTCGAGAGCCAGACTCCCAACATGATTACTTTCTAAAAAATCGAAGAGATGGTAAAGGAACAGTACCACTGCTGGATAATTGGAAAGTCCCTGTGTGTCAACCTCTGTGCTTCGTGGCAAGGTAGACTAGCAAACATGCCCAACCTTTACTCACACTCGAGAAAACACTCCCAACAAGATTGCTTGCTCCAAAATCGAAGAGGCACCGCCCTCCGAATCTCGAGAGCCAGACTCCCAACATGATTACTTTCTCAAAAATCGAAGAGAGGGTAAAGGACCAGTACCACTGCTGGATAATTGGAAAGTCCCTGTGTGTCAACCTCTGTGCTTCATAGCAAGGTAGACTAGCAAACATGCCCAACCTTTATTCACATTCGAGAAAACACTCCCAACAAGATTGCTTGCGCCAAAATCGAAGAGGCACTGCCCTCCGAATCTCGAGAGCCAGACTCCCAACATGATTACTTTCTCAAAAATTGAAGAGACACCGCTATCCGAATCTCGAGAGCCAGACCCCCAGCAGGATTGCTTTCTCAAAAATCGAAAAGGCATCGTTCTCCGAATCTCGAGAGCCAGATCCCCGACAGGATTGCTTGTTCGAAAACCGAAGAGGCACCACTTTCCCAACTTCAAGAGCTGGATCTCCTTGGATAAAGCTTGTCTGTAATCTTCACACGCAACATCAGCTTTCCAGATACCACAGACCACTTTTTCAAAGTGCTCTGACAGAGTTAAAACATGTGAAGCTGGCAGCTCCCACTACCGTACTATGACCAAGCAGGGTAAATGAATAGCATTATTACTTGATGTTAGGGAGACTCCTATATATGTCGACCTCCATCCCCAACGGACAGGCAGACCTGCAAAAATGCTCAACACTTCCTCTTATCTGAGAAGGCACTCCCAACGAAGCCTTTCGAAATATTCAGCTTTCTTTCCCCCCGATAATACCTCTGTAAACAAGCTATACTAGAGCAAGAATATCTCATATCATCAGGGTTAAAAGCAAGAGTATCCCATATCATGCTTTTTCCCTGTCTTTTCCTTTGGCTTTGTTCTTACCTGCAAGACAAGGAGAAAGAGAGCAATCAGTCAGCACTTGGAATCAAGCTTCCAGCCAGGAACTGACTGCCTGGAACCCCTTACCTGATTACTTACCTGGCATTGCTCTCGAGTACTCATCTTCAACATCTTATGCTTCCAGGGAAGATACCGCATCTGCCAGAGGAACAGATAGGGCAAGTGAGAAGGATACAAGGAAGCATGTGGAGACAAGCGTAACAGCACACGTGCCGATACATCCACTACTCTGTCAAAAGCAAAAGTATCCCATATCAGCAGGGTCGAACGTACACTAGATTTGATGGACTTGTTTTGACCCTCAAATTCTTCAGTCGGCCTTATACTCTGGAGGAAACCAGAAAACCCTCCAGCCCAGTTCAGGAATAAGCCTGTGGAAAGTTACTTCTTCAAAAGCAAAAGTATCCCATATCATCTCTTCTCATTTTTCTTCTCTTTATCCTTCATGCTGCCTGCAAGATAGGGAGAATGTGAACAATCAGCTGGAGCTCTGATTGCTTACCTTGTCTGTCACCTCTTTCAGCAGATCCCCTAGCTCGGCGACTTGGGGGACTCCTACTACATGGTTTGTATCGCGCTTGACCAAGCCTGAAACTACAAGTAAGCTTCAAGTGAAATTGATACATTACCTTGTGCATCTCCACCAGTTACAGATACCACCCCTGGATGGAGGAAGAGTACTTCCAGAGAAGATGCCACATCTACCTATGAGACAGATAAGGCAAGTCAAGACGATACCACACTCCGGTACTTAGAAGTTTCGTGGTTACGAGATCATTCTCCCACAATATTTCCTAATATCATTTGTACTAAATCATTCACTTGTACTCACTAAAGGAGAGCTTGAACCTATGTACTTGTGTAAACCCTTCACAATTAATGAGAACTCCTCTATTCCGTGGACGTAGCCAATCTGGGTGAACCACGTACATCTTGTGTTTGCTTTCCTATCTCTATCCATTTATATACTTATCCACACTAATGACCGGAGCAATCTAGCGAAGATCACAAAAAGTGACCGTTTTCGCTACCTAGGATCTATCTTGCAAGAGAACGGAGAATTAGATGGAGATCTCAACCATAGAATACAAGCTGGATGGATGAAGACACATCAACATCTTATACTGATTTCTTTATAGAGAGAGAAAGACAAAGATGAAAGTGTGAGAAGAGGGGAGGAAAATGGGGAGGATTAGGGGGGAAAGAATCGTAGTCTAGGGTAAAAACTCATTCACATGCAAGATTTTACTCCATTATCAATCAGCCGTTGGATCTTGAACTCTCTATAAGTATTAAACAAAATGAGTCCATCTATCTCACCCATCAATAAAAAATGATTCCTTCAGAAATAACCATCCTAATCCTTGTATTCCTTACCTTCTTGTGGTCTCTCCTCTGCATCCTAATCAATGCCTTCTCAAGGCAAAGCTGAAAACTACCTCCTGGCCCTAGGGCACTGCCAATCATTGGCAATCTTCATATGCTATGTGAGGACCTGTATTTTCAAAAATAATCATATATAATTATGTGTTGTGTATACTTATTAATTTCAAAAAAAAAAAATTGTATTACTTCTTATTTAATTGTTAATTCCTTTATTTCATTTTTCCATACTCTAATTTACTGTTATTTTGAACCAAATAAGTTCAGTACACCATTACGGTAGTATTTGAACTATATATTCATATTATTCATCTTCTTTCCTTTTACATTATTTTATTAAGCTGTTTGTTCTATTCTAATTGGACCAAAACCATAGCCAATTAAAGGGCTTTTACATCATTCCTATCGATAGCTTTGAGGCGGTGTAAGTTTGCTTGGTCTGATCTCACCTTCCTCTGTGCCGACTTCCTTCTCCTATAAATAGAATGTTATTGCTTCGGTTTTCTTCGCTGGCGAGATGAAACGTTTTCTATCGGGGTCTACTCTCTCTCAGGTTTAAAGAGTTTTCCTTTCTAGAACTCTTAGTTATTTGTCTCATATCACTGTATGTTATTAATAAATTATAAATGTTTGTATCTAAACCAAAAAGGGGCTGCTGGGCATCGTTATGCGTATGTATTTGAATTCGTTCATACTGCTGATTTAGTTTTATAGAAAAGTCTTTCTATTCATATTGTTCTTTAGTGATAGCCTTTTTTGTTCTGTATTTCGCATGTGACATAACAATACCATATTCATTCCTATTCTTGGAAAGGCACTTAACTTTAGGAGACTTGGATGCTGCTCTATTGCAAAGAGAAGAGTCGAAGCATGTACTGCATATATATGTATATGTATGGATGCATGTCTGTTGTTAAATGAATAAGCATGTTGGTAAATGGTTTTATGTAGTTTAATTTATACATATTACTTGAATGGTTTAGAAGGCAAAAGACTTTTGAATAAGCACTATACATGTTTGCTATATAAGAAACTATTTTGTACAGCATTATAGTCAACCAAATGACTTTTGAATTGAGTACCGTGGAACTGATGAGTTTTAAGTGTGTTGATTAGTATTAAAGTTCACATAAGGCATTTGGTAATTTTCTTATACTTGTGAATAGGAGCTTATCACAGTTGTGGTTTCTTGTGTTAATATATCGGAGCAATGCTTTGGAATCCAGGTAGGGGAAATACGGCAGACCTTTACGGAGATTGGCTTTATTAAATTTTGTGAAGCATTATATTATTATTGTTATTGATCTTGTTGGTTGATTAATGTGATCTGGTTTATTAATTGGACAAATACTGCTCTTGCGTGTTTACTTGTTATTGGTTATGGAATTATTGGTGAAATGCTATTCGTTGAGAATATGTTGTGGTACATGTGAACAATGAAATGAGATTATTTGTGCATTACTCATGTATGAGAATAGTTGGAAGTTCGGTGTTGAGAAAGGCACTGGAAATGAGGGTAGTTGGAAAGAATCTTTTGTGTAGTTGAGCCAAACTCTTAGCAGGTACCAGGTCTCAGGTGAGCCCACAGTGCACAGATTCTTTAAGGGTAATTCGGGACTGGCGACGAAGAGTTTGAGCAAGATGACTAACAAAAGGGGAAATTGGGATGATTGAGTTACAGGGGGTTAATTTGTATATTAAAACATTCGAACCACCACTGCAGAGGTAAAATGCACGGTATGGGACGTGCAGGTCCGCGTGTTTTATTACATGAATTAACGGGTAGAGATGAAGAGTATTGTATCGCACTCATGCATTGTTGATGATAATAATTTGGTACTTGATTACATGATTTTATGACACTTAATTTAATATTGTCAATTTACTGTGATAAGGTTATGTCCCTACTGAGCTGTTGAAGCTCACCCCTCTATTGTTATGCAGGTTTACGAACTGAACAATCTAAGAGGGTAGACGGGATGAGATCGGATTAAGTGTGAGGATAGAATTTTGTATTTCTTTATTTTAGCCTTGTAAAGAATTATTGAGTTATTTTAAATAAGAAGAATTTTATTTTTCACTCCGTTATTTCAGTTTTATTTTAATTAGTTAGCTTTTATCTCACGTTTCGGATTCGGAGTTATTTTTCCTATTGACCCCGGGTCCGGGGCGTGACATGCTAGGCGACCTCCCACGCATCCTAATCAATGCCTTCTCAAGGCAAAGCTGAAAACTACCTCCTGGCCCTAGGGCACTACCAATCATTGGCAATCTTCATATGCTAGGCGACCTCCCACACCGCAGCCCCCAAAACCTGGCAAAAAAATATGGACCTATAATGTCCATGCATCTAGGGTTCATACCAACCATAGTGGTCTCATCTCCCCAAGCAGCAGAGCTATTCCTCAAAACCCACGACACCATTTTTGCTAGCCGCCCCAACATTAGTGTTATGTGCCTTTCCTTAGTCCCCTTGATCTTCAGGTATGTTACCCTTCATTGTTAATTACCAAACTTTACCCTTCCTTGTTAATTACCAAACTTGTTACATGAATAAAGTATCTAGGAGACGGGCCAATGTCCACTTCTAACAACACTAATATTGTCTTTAACTTATTGATTACTACATGCACAGTCCGACAAGTGTGAAGTTTTATTACAAAAGACCTCAGTATTAGTTGAAATAGAGTTAAAATATTTAAACTCTTTTTTTTCATTGTCTCTGTCCAACGTCAGATAGTTAAACATGCCCCCTCACGTAAGACCCAATTAGCGGGTCATACGTGAGAAATCCACACATCCGCAACCATGTGGAGCCAAATTATGACCTCTCAAATAATTATTAAAAAAATAAATAATTTAATCATAACATTTGTAAATTTTACTATCGTTTCCAAACTTCTTTACATTGTCTGGCAAGAATTTTAACAAGCTTGTGGTGTGGAAAAAAATTCTTTGAAAATAGGGTTTTGTATAATTTTCTTAGAATTTTGTCAAAACTAATTAAAGCCTGTGTGTAACACTTTAGATGAAACTTGGGTAAATATCTTATATTGCACGTGCGTAAAATTTATTTGCGCCATGCACTGTGTTGTACTTGAACATATAGGTCATGTAGTCGGTGGTAATGAAGGCAATCTCTTCAATCTGCAAAACAGTGTTGGGTCCTTCTGGATCTGCATATTTGACGGGCTAAATTGATCATCTGATGGCAATCTCTTCAATCTTAATATTTAATGTCAGTTTAAATTGATCCAGATCTGCAAACCAGTGTTGGGTCCTTCTCCTTTTAGGCATTTCTGTCAGGAAACCTCCACAACTCAGCTGAATATCCTAACCTCTCTAAGTTTGTGACTAGTCTAGCAGACTGTGTCGTCTTCCCACACCGATCTAAGCCTTCAAGAACAACCAAGGCACCTCTTGAATCCTCATTTCCACATTTTAGGCTATAGTTCTGATTTTTACCTTCTATCCGAATCTGCCTGACTAAAACATTGCAAGCAAAGTATGATTGAAAGCCCAATGACCTTCGTACTGCTCTGGCTCCAAAGTTTAAAGCTTGCAAGCTGCATGATTCTGCCGACCAGTGAGGTATCCGTAGTGCAGGGAAGGGAGGCGCCGGGGGAGATGGGTGAGGCCGGGGAGAATGGCGGCGGTGTTGACGATGTTGTTCTTCTTCGGGGCTCTTTCATCGTCTGATGATGAACTGGACTCGTCCTCTACCTCATCTCCCGACCCAACTTTGGTCGGACCAACATCCTCCGGCTTTCTTTCACTGTCCATTGGAGACCTGGCGTCGATGCCCCTGACAGGACGCAGCTTCTGGGGAGGCGAGGGAACCGTAGGCCACGAATTCTCGAACATAAGCTCGTCTGTGTTCTCAGGGAGCGGGGATATCTGCTCTCCAAAGACGTCAGGGTCTTTTGCCTAGTAGCAGAAAGGGCAGATCCAGATGGGCTCAGAGACGTGGATTTTTGCGCTAGTAGCAGAAAGGGCAAATCCAGATTTTGGCAGTGAAGCGGATCGGGAAGATGTAGACGGCCAGTGGGATCACGCATTTGCTAGCCTCCAGGGAAGGGAGGAGAGAGAAAGATGAGGACGTCAGTGGTGGTGGAAGTCTCAGGGCGCGACAACAGATATCAAAACCTCAAGCATAAAAGTGCTTTTTGGGTACTTTCACTGGCTTAGTAATCAGAGGACGGGTTGAGCTTCTTGGCTTCGGTGATGCTGTTGGTTTTAAGCTCGCTGCTTCTGCTTATTTTCAGCCCACTTCTGTTTTTTGCTGGGTTTATGTTTGTCGGAGCCTTTGGCTGGGTTTGCTCTGGCTGCTGCTGCCTTGGCTTTTACGGGGTGACTACTCTAAGATGGATTTTTCAGAAGCTTGCCGGTATAAGGCTTTTGGGATTTTTGCAGATTCACAGTGGTGAGATGAAAAAATGAAAGAGAACCGACACAACTTTTCGGATCGATTCCCACAAACGGCGCCAAATGTTAATGCACAAAACCGGAGGTCTTGGAACAACGTAAATTCGACCGTGAATCTGCATGAAAGTAAATAACACAAGATGTATCATGGTTCACCCCAAGGTTTAGGCTACGTCCACACTGATTGTATTTATCTGAGAGTATTTGTGAGGGAGAGAGTGTGAGAGTCTTGCTCTAGATAGGAGAGACTTAGGGTTTGTGAGGGTGAGGAGACCCTTTTATAGAATAAAGGCTCCTTCCCTAATTACATATTTGCCCCTTCTCTTATTACATAATTACATTTAAGTCCTTCGAGTATTTATACGAGGTCTAAATACAAGGCCCTAAATATTGTATAAACAATATGCTTGCATTTTTTACCAGGCCATGTATAGGAATGTGTGCGTATCTGTGCGAGTGTATATGTTTGTAACAACACATTAATCCGCGGCATGTTTTGAATTTGGTTCATGTATGCTTCATACTTGTTGATGATAACATTTAATGGTTTCTTTGGTGGTAGGCACCTGCATCCTTTTATCCCAGTGGCATGAGATACAATACCAGTGTGCCAAATGAGCCCGACACGCATGATGATTTTAAACCAACTAATAAACTTGAGAGTTTTGACCTTAGTTTGAAGGCCTTGTTGAACAGGTATGTATGCCAAACCAATCTTCTTAACATAAGTTTTTATCTTCCCTTTGTCATCTGGATAGGGATGGGCAAATACCCATCGGTTATGGGTAACCACGGTTACCCGTCCATTTAAATTTCACGGTTATGGTTATGGGTAACCGTTTAGATAAATAAACGGTTATGGGTATAACCGTTTACCTGTGAAATTTAAATTGGCAGTTATGGGTATTAACCGCGGTTATAAACGGGTAACCATTTACCCATTTATTTTATATATGTAAAATTAACACAAATCATGTTCCCTATCGGACAAAACTTAGATCAATGCTATTGACCATAGTTCATGATTTCTATAGCTAATATAATATAGTTTTCTTTAACCACTTTAAATTTCATGTGTGACGACCCGTCCCTATATTATTTATGTAATTTATTTCCGACTATGTGAAATGACTATTACGCCCTTATTGGCAAGTGACATGGACGTATTTATATCGCTTTTATTTTATTTCTCGCTATCGCAATTAAATTGTACACATTATTACGAGTGTCCGAGAATTTCTACCAATGTAATAACACTGTTACGGATAGGTTTCATTCCCTTTTACTATAGAAAATTTGAAAATTTACCCCGAGCTTTCTTTAAAACCTACCCCGTGCCTTTTCCTTGTCATTCACCAGTCAAATATCTTCCAAAACCTTCTCCTCCATTCATTTTTCCTGTTTTTCCTCCTAGCCAATCAAGTGCCTTTCCTCAATTTTGGCACCCAATTAGTGATCACACTTCCACAAACCTTCACCCAATCAGAAAATGCAAGTCACTCTCTCTCTCCCCGAATGTCTCTCTCTCACCCTTTTCTCTGCAACAAGGAAGACCAACCCCAAATCTTCACTGTTCCGAACTCGGACGAGTTGAGTTCGACGTGTTTTCAACCGAGTCACGATGTTTTAGGACCTGGGAAAGCCTCTACACAACTCCCTACGGTCCCTAGTCAAGGTTTGAGGAAGCTTTGACGTGAAACAACTCGGTTTCGAGAAGTTCAAGTTTGACCCGTGCCTTTCGAGCCAATTTCTGGCCAAACCACGACAATTTGGCCAGCGTGCAAGGTATCAATTTCTTCGTCTCACTGAGTACTACAACTTTCCTTTTTCTTTCACCGAAAGTCGTTGAGTATTGAAGAAGTTATACTCATTTGAATCTTACCCAGTTTTTTGCGACCTCCACGCTTTCGAGGTGATTTCCGGCCAAACCACGACGAGTTAGATGTCATGCAAGGTACCATTCTCTTCGTCTCTTTGAGAACTACAACTTTCATTTTTGAATAACTCAATTTCGTTGAGTATTGACAACGTTATTAACGTTTAAAGGTTGTTCAGTTTTTTTGCTGAATCCGGCCTTCCCTTCCGTTTAGCTCCGGCGAGCAACAACCCAAACCCAGGCCCTTTGGGCCATTCTTGCCAAGCCCAAAACCCTGGGCAGCCCAACCTAACCCTTTTTTTTATTATTATTATTTGGTTAATTAAAGGCTTTTGGGCCATTTCCTTTTAGGGCTTTAAGCTCATGCATTTTAAACCCTAAACCCTTTTAGTTTAGGCCTTTAGGCCTAAAACCCTTAAGTCCAACCTATTAAACTAACCCAACCTAATAACCCTTAACCCAGATGAAATATTCCGTTAGGGAATATTCCATCCGTCAGGGAACATTCCGTCCTTCAGGAAATTTAAGCGGGACCCTTCTTAGGGTAATTCGACGTCCTGAATCCATTTTTGACGTCCGTTTTCCCAAATTCAATCGTTATAATATAGTTTTATTAATTGTACATTTATGTGCTTAGGGGCAATTATTAGTGGTGTTTGCATCTTCGCTAGGTTGCGTGGCTCGTCAGCGGCGAAGTCTCTGTGAGTGGGCATTTTATTTTATACCTATACATATTGATAGTTTCCCTAAATGCGTAGTTACTTCACTTTTACGCTTATATTGCCTAGTATTCGATATTGTGATATGAATTGTGATAAATGCTACTATATGGTTAGGATATCATTGTCATGACATTCATACATATTTGTACATGCTCATCTTCCTACACCCGGATGTTAGTACTCCGCCCAGGGCCAGGGCCAGTCCTTCACATGTATGTTCACATCCGCACCATTCGCTCACCTTGGATCCAAATTGGGTGCTAGTCCTGTCGGGTAGATTGCATTAGGCAATCCGACTTGTATGTGACCGTGCTTCTGCACCACTCTTTGTGTGATCGTAGTACTAGAGCGCATTGATTACACCCAGTTCTGTTGGGTAGAATTGCCTTAGGCTGTTCCGACTCGTGTGCTAGCTTAGATGATGAACAAACTACTTATAATTGATTATCACATGATTATATTACTTTGGCATTTGATAATTCATGACTTGGCATATTTCTAGTTATATTGCTGTTATATTTGATTTCATACTTACGTAGTATGTGTTTTGAGGAAACTATACTTGTTTTACGGCGAGGCGAGGGGTTAGTATATTCAAAAATAAAGGTTTTCGTATAAGCATTGTTTTGCTACCCACTCAACTTTGTTTTTCGCCCCTCCAGGTTTAGTAGCTGTGTTTACGCGTATACGAGGATTCTAGCAAATCTCAGGAGAAGGTTACCTTCAGTGGTATAACCATCATCCTATTTACTATATTGTCTTATGCTCTGACATCACGTGTGAAAAGGGTTCAATCCCGCTCACCCGCGCACTCTTTTGATTAGGCACTTTTAGGTTTAATTTATTCACTTTTTCCACATCACTAAACTTTATGGCTTCGTCACCTTCCAGGTGTCGGCCAGGACAACTCAATTTGGAGTCCAAGTAGACATTCCGGGTCGGGGTGTGTCATCATAGTCCATTATATATATTATGTTAATATTTTACATTCCGAGTTAAATAACCCAAGAATACTGTCTTTTAACAGTTTTCGTGACCCAAGAATACTTAGCAAATTTTATATTACCTTCATTGCTAAAAGTTAAAAATATCGTCTGTAAATTATTATTTCAATTATTGGAATGGTATAAAGATTTAAAAAATTAAAATGCGGAAATGTATGATGAATGTACCTATAACGGTGTTTAATTGTTAGAAAAAAAAAAATTATGACAAATTTTTCTTTTTTAATTTTCAAGTTGTTAAAAAAAAAACACGTAGACAGGTGAAAAAGGAGTAAATGGTGAAAAAGAAAGGATAAACGGGTTTAAAAATGATAAATGGGTAAACGGGTATTAAACGGTTGTGATTAAATTGGTACACGGTTATGAGTATGGTTAACCGTTTATAAACGGTTATGGGTATGGGTATAACCGTTTAGACAATTACCGAACGGGTAAACGGTTATACGGGTATGGAAATAAACGGTTATGGATAAATAACTGTGGTTACCCACCTGCCATAACCGTTGCCCATCCTTACATCTGGACGAAGGTTAATTGTCCTTTACGTTAAATAATTCTGGTATGTTTCTGGCGTAGGACGTCAAGGACAACCCTGTAATGCTTTATATGAAAGGAGTGCCTGAACTTCCTCAATGTGGATTCAGCTCACTTGCCGTTAGAGTATTAAAACTATATCGTAAGTGCCAAGTCGTTCAATACTCCTTCATTCATTCATGGCTTTCTAAAGTTCATTTAGCAATCAAATCTAGCTATGTATGAACGGAATAACTGAAATGAATGCATAGTGATATCACTATCTTCATGAATCATGATTGCTCATATGTTCCATCAAAGTGGGACGCCACTAGCTGAAGATAGATATAAATAGCTTGCCAGTGTCAAGCATATCCATACAGGTGCATTTGATACTTCCTGCATAAAGAGTGTCAGTTTTGTACAAATACGTGATGCACCTAATCAATTAGAATTGTCAGAAATGGCTAAAACGTAAAGTAATCCAGAATGGAGTAGAGTACTGTTTCAGGTGCAGTGACTGACAGATTGTATTAATTTTCTTTTCAAGTTTACATATTGAATGAAGTAAGTTGAGTGAAGCTCTTCTTATTTGTTGTACTTTTCAAGTCTTGGAATTTTAATTCAATAGGTAGTTCAACTAGAAATTATGAAGGAACGGGTTCTATGTTACCGAGTATAGCTTGAGTTTACGAACAAACATGACTACTAAATAGCTACTAAATTTCATTTCTTGTTTTGCATTGCCGCTAACTATTTTCTTATGATTATTGTGGACTTTGCAGAAGTTCCCTTGGCCTGTAGAAAGATAGAATGACACATTTCAAGAGAAGAAGTCTGAAAAAGTTGTTGAATTTGGAGGGTAGAATGATACATTTCACCCATGTTCATTTTTTCACATATTTGGATAGTATGTGTCGATACGAACGCATGGGGGCAAACGGAATGAAATTTGGAGCTAGAATGAAAGATTGTACGAGGCTCAGCTTTTTTTTGGTTGCTGAAAGATTACAAATATGTGGGATTATGTATCACTAGAGTTAATAAACCTAATTTTATTATGTCAAGAGTAATAAAACTCGCTTTTTTATTCATCTCCTTTCGTCCTCCTGCAATATATCTGGTTTTCATGTGAGAATTGGGTTTGAGTTAGTTGTTCTGGTGCCTAGGATTGGATGAGAATGGGTGTGACCTTCACATGCGCTTTTCCCATCCTTCGGAGGGTCCCGAGACCACCCAGGTTCCTATGTGGATCTGCCCGTGCCTACACACCTTTGTTTATTTCCCTCCTCTAAAATAAGATGTCAGCCAACAACTTTCATTACTGGAGTGAAAATCAAACCTGATTGCAAACAAAGAAATGCTTTTTCATAAGCATCAAGAAAAAAAAAAATTAATTGAAGATTTAGGGAAATTATAACAACTATAGTTGCTATCCAATTTATTTATGATTTTTCATTATTCTGTTTTTTATAAGCGATAAAAGGAGGGGGTGTGCTTAGCTTCACAATAGGTTAGCAATAATATGGTTCAAATTTGCCTTTGGCAAGAATCAAACCTAAGACCTCTCACTTACCACTAAATGGCCTGGTGGGGCTTTAAATCTTGACGGAGCCACTATTTCCGAAGTCAAAGCTAAAGGTCTAATAGAGAGGGCCTAATGTTTGCTCTTAGAAAGGGTGTGTCGAAGATCATGGTGGAAGGCGATTCCAAGCTAGTCATCCAGGCTATGCAAGGAGTGTGCTCGGTTTCATGGAATCTAGAGCATACCATTGAAGATATTAAATGGATGGTGACCAAATTTAGCATTATCTCTTAGACCCATATCTTTAGAGAGGCAAACTTTGTTGTTGATGCCTTTGCTCGTCAGGGCTTCTAATAACTGGTTGTCATATGTGGGAGCATCATGTTCTTCCTTTTGCTTTAGATGCTTTTCATTTTAATTCTGTTGGGAACGGTTATTAGGGTCGGACAATGTTTCAAAACAAATCTACTTCTAACTATCTGAGAGACAACATTAACTGATGCCACTAGTACATGAGCCTGCGATGATTGCAAGACCATCCTGCACGGATGATGCCGACAAACTGCAGTTCTTGTCTCAGAGTCCCAATTTCACAGCTCAAGTATTTTCCAACATCTCAATACAGCAACGAGGGTTCCCAAACCAAGCAAGCTGATTTTACACATTGCAATGAAAATAGTAATCTTTTACTCTGAAAATTTTGTCGAGGTGTTTAGCAGCGTTGCAACATTTTTCATTTCCCTGAGCTTGCTTAACATAAATATTGAAGCATATATTCATTGGAAGAACATGTCTCTTTCAAATCCTGATGTGTTCTTGTTATTGCCGTCTGTAGGGATTTTTAAAGCAGGAAGCAGCTTTCTAGAGTTTTGTTGAATAGAGTTACCATGAACTTTGCAGAGCTCCTGCAAGACAAAACATACGCAAACCATCAGTGAGATCCTGCTATGAAAACAATGCTACTGTAACGCGTTCACAGCATCTGAACTCAGTAGAAACGGAAGCCAATAAAAGTACCTGACACCACCGAAGTATGAACTCCAAATGTGGGCGACTTTCTAACAGATCTGCAAATGCCTCAATTAACCTTTGCAAATATCTGTACGGAATTGATGAGACGACAGCAGGGATGTCTATCGGACTAACTTTGAAAAATACACTTTTTAATTAGACTGTCTTCGTTTAATCTGAGACTAAGGATTAAAGCCTTGCTCAATTTATCTTCATTGCGTGCAGCATCAACAGCCTGCAGAACAATGTAATCAGGAAATAAATGAAAAAGAAAACAAAATTGAAGGTAGAAATATACAAAAACTAAAAAAAATTAGTGCCATTTTAACAAAGGGTCTCACTATTAGTATTTACCTCCAAATTTTCTCGCAAGCCTTCCAATCATGAATTCATTAATATCCATTATAAACCTTGGCCTCGTTTGGCATGCCATATAAGACCACCGGATAGTACTAATAATACGAAGCGGATGTTTGGTGAACGTCGTATTAAATAAGCACCGTATTACTTAATCCGGCCCCACTTGTTTTATCCCCTTCATACCTGCTTGTTTATCCCGTCCCAAACCTCTGTATGTATTATTAGTCGGGTGCATCTCTCTCGCTCACACTGGCTCACTCCGTCCCTCTCTCACGCACTCTCCTTCAACTCTGTCCCATCACCTGCTATCTCTCGTCTACTTCCAAGTTCGTCTTCGTCGCCATTTTTTTTTTTCTGTCTCTCTTCCTTCCTCCTTCTTTGCACACACACCCCCACCTCTTTGTTCGCCTTTGATTTCTGACAAACAAAACATTCCATGGGTTGAAGGAGGAAGATGATGATTCAAATTCTTTCGATCTGGACTCCAATGACGAGAAGGATGACGAGAAAGGGAGCTAGGCTCCGACGAGGAGGGGGATAGCAACTCGGATCTGGGCTCCGATAAGGAAGGGAGCTGGGCTCTGACGAGGAGGGGGACAAGAATTCGAATATAGGCTCCGAGTTATCGACCCTGGCCGCTACTCCTCTGCAATCGGTCGTCGATGGTGGGATTGATGCGCGAGGAAGATGGTGAAGAAGAAGGGTGCGACTGAGAAGAGTCCTGGGTTTTTTATTCTTATGTTTTTTTTTTTTTTTATTGTTTTTTCTTCCTTTTGTTTTTGTTTTGTTTAATTTTAACAACAATTATTGTGAATTTAAAAAAAAAATATTATAGTCCGACGTATTATCCGATGCATAAATTAATCCGATACAATACCAAACGCCCGACTAATTTAGTCAGTATTATCCGACGACTATTTATCCTATCCGACTGAAATAGTCAGTACAGTCCGAGCTGCCAAACGAGGCCCTTGTATACAATCTATATCTCTCTCTCCTCCCCATCCACTCTCCCTGCCACCGTCATCCAGTAGCTCTCCCCCAAAGTACTGGTTTGGTACTAAGGTACTTTTATAAAAAGTGGGTATCAAAAAAACCTGAGCTCAAAAAGGTGTTTGATAAACACTTAAAACAGCTTATTTTCACAATTTTGGATGGCCATGAAACCGGAGGGAAAAGAGTGCAATCAATGGGAGAGGAAGGAGGAGGATATGGGGGTGAGATGACCAGAGGGGAAAGGGTGCTGTGTAAAACTCTTATGTGAATGACAATGAGTTATGCCGAGAATAATGGAGAACTAAGACGACTTGACTTACAAGTCATGGATACGCTTAAGGATTCTCGGAGGCCTAGTGTTACAAATATATTGGAGTCGTAATAAGTATCATGGTAAGACTAATTGATTTGATAGTATTTGGGTGAATATCCTTTACGATAATAGGGAGGAATTGATTGAAACCCTAGTTATAAAACTAATTTTTACAGCACAACAAAAACAGTTTTTTTTTCAAAGCACAGCAATACCAAACCAGCCCTAACTTTGGAACAGAGGCACCTTTGTTCCAGGTGCCCATGGGGCCTCCTCTAGGTTCAAAGGTGGACAGTCTACCTAGTTTTTTCTTCAATTAAGTTTATGTTTTTTATCAGACAAATATTGATGTTTAATTCGAGCAATTGTATTCTGGTGGCATACTGAGTTTTAACAAAACAAAGCTTTAAAAAATGTTTCATGGGTAATCTGAGTAGAGGGAATTTTGTAATATTTCAAAGTTTCACCAAGTACCTCAGGTGTGACATCTATGTCAAGATCAGTTGGGTCAAAGATAAAGGAATCATCAATTGAATAAACTAGAACTCCCTCTGTTGTTGTTGCTGCTGAGAAGCTCCGACCAGTGGGGGCAAATTCTCAAGCATTTTGTTCTAACAACCAGCCTTCCATGGTTAGGCATGGATCCTGGTAAATCATAACCCAACTTTCCCTGGGTTTGCTTGTCAACACCGTCTTCTATATATCGTCAATTAAATCCAGTGGTCCAGCATCTGTCATATTCTTTGAGTTTAAGAAGTCAAGAACTCCATCCAAAGATACATTGTGAGTTATTTGAAACCTCCGCAGCAACACCTGCGAAAATAAATTCACTACATCAATAGACCTAAAAACTTTGAGGTTTGAACATAATGAAGAAGTGGAGTTCCTCTACAAGTTAGTTTTAGAGGAATACAATGGTACCCAGTGACGCAGACAGGAGATGTACCCAATCACCGATACATATACACAATACAGACAAGGAAAATTATATACACCCTAACTTCTCTTTTCCCAACTTACATGGCATTCTCACACTGGAATTAAAAACATTGTTGTTTTACCAATGCAATGATATATTTCTCAACTGTGGGAAAAAAAAAAGCATTGGGAGAAAAAAGTTGGTGTATTTTCTAAAGAATAAGTTTAGATGATTGATGTAGAAACAAGCAGATTGTAGCAGGTTTAAGGCCAGAAAAAATCTACCAAAGAGCATATGCATACAAGACGTCAAAAGAAATAAGCATACAGAAGTTAGAAAAAAAACGCCTATTATTTCAAAAATGATATACAACAAAACTGCTTAAAGTTCATCCTAAACTCGAATGAAATGGAGTATTCAGGTAACCATGGAAGTTGCACAGCCCTAATCAAAGTTCTCATTAGATGTTTGATGTTCTGAATATGTGACTTATACTTGGAGAAATCTTAATTCATTGGGACACTGGCCAAGAGGTGGAAAGTTGTACAGCTCTTTTAATAAACCTCATCACATTTTGGCTAAAGTTGCAATAAATCAAAGTAAATAACAGTATCTTATGTAAGAATGTGTAGACCCAACTGTTAATGAAAATATAGCTCATGCTTTTCCAAGCAGTTTCTTCAAGCATAAAAAAGATGCAAGAGGTGTGTGTGCATAACTGCATATAGCTTGATGTTAAGGTCTTGATGTGCCAGCCAGAAAACGAAACAGCAACAGAAAATGCAAAAAAATGAAAGCTTGAGAAACATCATCGAGTGTGAATTATGCTGTTCAAAGCTTGCCCATGTAAGAAACTAACCTGATCAGCAACATCATACATGCAGATGTATTTGCTACTTCCTCCAGCTAATATGTAACTCCCATCAGCTGAATAACATAA